CTTTCAGAGTAAAACACTTCAGCAAACTTACAAAACTAACGGGTTTGAGCTGTCAGCTCATCCCCAAATACAAATCATTCAAGTTATTAGTCCTGTATGTTAATATTCTCTAACAACTAAAAATATTATCAATAAATGTATTGAGAGCAATAATAACAACGCATTACTATGTGCTGTGTGCTGAGGTATGGTATCTTACATGTATTATTTATTCTGTTTAAATTTCTTAGTAACCTTTTGCTCATTTCCTTTTATGGGATAAGGGGAATGTCAAGGTCGCAGTGACGTCAATGATTCAGCCCAGAGCAGTCTGATGTCAAAGCTCAGACATTTACCTACTATGTCACACTGCCCTGCACTGAACATCTTCTACTCTGGAACAAATCAGCCTTATGTCTGTTCCTGAAATAGTGTCAGAATTATAATAGGAGTTCAAGGGAGACATGCCAGAATAAGAATAAATCTAGGGCAGGACTACTTAAATTACGCAGGCTATGGTATAATCAGGGGAGATCTTTATGAAATAAATATTAGTTTAGGATATAAATTGTATAGAAATCATGAATAGCACACAAAATTCTAGAAGTCTAAAACAAGGGACTAACAAGTCTGGCAAGAAAGGACAGCATTTACCAACAAACTGTGCTGCTATTTTTAAGGTTAAGATAAAATATCAAGAGTACCAAGATCCTTGTCTCATGTTTTCTGCCTCTGACTCTACTTTCCTCAGTTTGTTAGATACTCTTCACCGGCAGCTACAATATACCTGAGACCTTAGCCCCATCATCTGGTTACAAATTACCTTGGCATCCTCTCAAAACAGTGTCCACATATTCAGCCTCTCCTGGGCTCCTCCTTTTCTATTTGCACCCTGGATTTGCCATCTCTGCAGATTATTCTTTGGATAGTTTGTTGCTTTCTCGGTCAGAATCTCTCTCCTCCATCTCGTTTAGTCTGTACAGTCGAGATTTGACCTGGTTCCTTATTTCTAATATTAGCAATTACCATTCTCATTCCTCTTTTCCTTCTCACTGGAGCCTGCTGAGGAATAATTCTCTTTCCCCAAGTGAAATCTTTGTCTCATACCTGACATCAGTGTCTTGTTCCCACTGCATAGGAGCAACTGCTCCTGTCTGCCTCCTAGGATGCCCAGCACCCAGAATCTCCAGTACTATGCGATACCTCACATTTATCACTATCATCTGAAACAGCCAGTTCCATGTGATGTTGCTGAGACTTCCAAGCTTACATGTTGGGAACTATTACTAAGTCTCGAGAAATATAACTAGGTAGACCGGATGTGGTTAGAGAGAATCTGCTGTCATCATGGATGATTTTGACATTCTTGTTTGTTTTTACAAACAGGCCAGGCCATACCACAAATGGAAATCTGTATGATTTAAAGAGTTGGCTGGGAAACCGGGAGTAGCAGCGAATCAAGTCCAGGGCCTGGCATCTGTGTTGTGGGAAGAGGCTACACTGGAGAAAGGACAGATCTGCCACCGATGTTTAGAATGTGCTTACTCAGCCAAATCTCTGGAGTGACTAGTGTTTCTCTCTTCTGTCGTACTACCTCGGGTAGGTCTTGTGTCAACACTGACGCCTGCCATGACATGGCCTCTCGCGTGCTTCCTAACTCGGAACATCTAGCTCCTACTGGAGAATGGAGACAGACATGTTCAATAAAACTATGGCCAACAGAATTATTACAAGTTATTATGATAATTAAAGCTGTCAGAGGAAAGTCCTCAAACAGAAGAAGACTCTTGAATGGATCCCGGTAGTCATGTAATGTGGGTTCCCTAGGGTTCTATGCTCTATGCTGTCTCCATCTTCACTTTGCAAAATCCAAGAAACTGGTGAAATTTACATTGCTCCTCTAAGAAACTGTTCTAATGGGCCATAGAAAGTGTCCTGGGCTTGATTTCATAACAACCCCTGGGCCTGCCTTCTAGTGCTCCTCCCAATCTCCTGTCTGTCCTTAAGTCTCAGCTCAGGCTCACCACCTGGAGGCCTTCAATAGCCAGTGCTAACATGTGACTCTATACATCACGTCTTCAGTCACTGCAGACCAAAAGAATACTGAATTTCAAGAAGAAGAAAAAAATACCTTGGTTGATGGAACTGTCCAGTTATTTCCATAAGGAATCTGTGTAGTATTTTCATAGGAACAGAAAAACATCCTAAGTCCAGTGCAATTTAACAAAAAAATCTCATTGTTGTATAATCCAGTTAATGGTTGCATGTAAAGTCTGCTATCCTGTGCCCTAGGACTGTATTAATAGTACGTATAGTGTCAGTAGAAATAGTGTTGCATATACTGACCAACACGTCTTCCCCCACTAGATTTTGGGCTTCTTCGTGGAAGGGATTATGTCTTATAAATATTTAAGTGTACAGTAATGAGGATAAGGCCTGGCACAGAGTAGGTGCACCCAACTGTTTCCTCGTTTTTTTATTTCACCACAATCAGAATAAATTATAAAATGAGAGGGTTATTTAAGTTATCTCCAACATCCAAATATTTCACTCAGAAATTGCTAAGGGCTCTATGGACACATGGTCCTCCCTATGCAGAGCTGAGCATTATATGGAAAAGAAAGGTCCTGGATTCCTGAAGCTTCTGTCCTAACATTGGAGGTTAAAAAAGTAATCTCCATGAGGTATACTCATATACTCCAGGCTCCTTTGTTAAAGGAATACACTGATTTTTGAGGACGGTAAATTCTTCTAATCTAGAGCGCTGCAAACACTCAAGAATCCTACGATTCCATAACTAAGAGTTCAAAGAGACAGCACAGATATGGGGGTGAAGTACCACGTCAGAAGCTGAAATCTGGAAGAGGCTCACGGACAAGACTCATGATGAGGTTTGATCTGAGGAAGGAGTCACTGCCCTGCAAAGCTTCTGTGCTGCAGCGTGCAGGAATGATCTACTTGTGAAAGGCAGCTCTCCAGAATCCTCAGACAGTTTCCCCCCTCAGGTGACCACTGAGTGAACTTCACTCCTTTCCCTTCAGAAATGCCACACATCGAATTTGGTTTCCAGTGTGATACTTAATTCCAGCGAGTTAAAGTGAAATTTCGTAATTCCTGTGTGAGCCCTCCTCTGGGACCCTCTCAAAATGTTGTATCTGGTAAACCCAGAGGGTAAGCGCTAGATCACACCTCTTAAAAAACAAAATTCACAATTCATTTCAGTGAGGAAAAGGACCTTGGAGGAAACGCTGAGGGCTATTCCCTCTCTAGTGCTTGGGGAGTCCCCCCTCCCATCAGAAGTGCAGCACAGGAGAGGAACCTGCAGTGTGTTAAAGCAGGCTATTATCGGAGCAGATAAACACTGCTCCAGATTCTCCGTAGCAATGACTTTTGTCACACAAGGATAAAGGCATGTGTTTAACCATTTCCATCACTTGCCTACCCCTAGGCCGTTTGAATCGTGAATCAGACGTTCCACAAAGTGGACTGCGTACAGGAAACACCGTGATCTTGGTTACAGAACGAAATCAACCACTACTATATTCCCAGCTGTTGCCCTATTAATTTGTAGTGAAGTACTCCCACACTTGTTCCAACGTCAATGAAAGCTGCTGGGGATTTTCTCCTTCTTTTGTACCTGTAAGTTTGCTAAGCTCCTTACACATCAGCGCTAGCTCCGTCCCCACGAAAGACCCCTTGTCGTTCACACAAGGGAGACGCTTCCTCCAAGCGGTTGACTTCAGCAGGAAACATCGCAGCGAAAATAGCCTCTGAACTTGTCCCTCCCCCCAGAGCCTTCCTCTGCCGCGAGGAGCACGCTTTCTTTCAAAAAGCCAGAAAGAGGGAGGAGACGCCGTTCCCTCCGCGAGCCGCGGCCTGTTCTGCCCGCCAGCCAAGCAGAACGGCCCCCGCAAGACCGCGGGCGGAGCAGAGGAGCCGGCGTGCCGAGCCATCACCCGAGGTCCGGGCGGGCGGCGGGCGCCCGGCC